CGGAGTGACGTCCTACCCAGATTCAGATGGGACTTCGCCATCCCTGTGCGGCTGCGATCTCCGAAACCGTCGCCACTTTCTAGGGCTGCTGGGGGCCCAGGAAAACAACGTCCTGCCCAGATTCAAATGAGACCTCGCCGTCCTTGGGCGGCTGCGATCTGCGAAGCCGTCGCCATGTTCGAGGGCTGCTGCGGGGCCAGCGGAACGACGTTTTACGCGGACCACCGGGAAACCTCGCCATCTATCGGGGGTTGCGATTTGCGAAACCGTCACCACTTTCGAGGGCTGGTAGGGGGTCCACCGGAGCGGCGTCCTATCCAGGTTCAAATGAGACCTGGCCATCCTTGTGGGGCTGCGATCTGCGAAGCTGTCGCCACTTTCGAGGGCTGCTGCGCGGCCCAACGGAGTGATTTGTTACCCAGATTCAGATGAGACTTCGCCATCCTTGAAGGGTTGCGACTTGTGAAACGATCACCACTTTCGAGGGCGGCTCCGGGGCCAGCGGGTGACCTTTTACGCGGAACAGCAGGAGACCTCGCCATCCCTGGGTGGGTTGCGATCTGCGAAACCGTTTCGGGGGCTGCTGGGAGGCCTAGCGGAGTGACGTCTGACGCGGACAGGACACCTCACAACCCGTGGGGCCCAGCGGAGTGACGTGTTTTTTGTTACTTGGGCAACGACCATGGACAACCACGGACAATCTCCAGATCATGCGCGATCCTGGCCTGGGTTTCCTGGCCTTCGGGCCGCCCACAAACTTGGCGACGCGCCTTCTAGCATCTAGCTCCAGCGCTGACAAGTGGAGGAGGGAGACGAAGAAGCTGGCGGGCGAGCTAGACTTCGCTCGCTTTCTGCATTCACCACCTGCAGCTTTTACCATGAGGTTTGGAGCGCCGCGGCGACATGGCGCAGGCAGCGCTGCATCTTTGCGTGCTACCGACAAGAGCAACACTCTTCGGTTTCCCTCCGGCATTTTCGTCGTCGCCCCCTGTCCCCTGCCACCTTCCCTAGGCTGTTGCCGCGCTGACGATTCGGCCCCCCACGCGTCCGTTTCCTGCCCTTCGTTCCCGCCCCCATGTCCTCCTCAAGCCTGGGCCCTCGCTCCTCGTCCTTTTGTTGCTGTCCTGCGAGTCGTGCCGCATGAGCGCACCTTGCACAATATATAGCGGCGCCTGCACCAAGTGTGAGCCAATTCCTCTTGTCATTTGATGCTAATGGGTATGGTATTTCACAGGGTAGTTGAAACGATTGCGCGTCGCTAATGCGAGAGCCGCATTTTGGAAGCGTCCCGCTTTCCATTTGTGAAACGGTTGCAATGTTTTAAGACGAGTGTGCGCGCGGTTCAGGCGAAAACCACAGCTCGAAAACCAACCGCCCTTAACCCCTTGCAACGTGTTGAGACGAACGTGCGCGGTGGTAAAGCGAGAACCACAGTTTGGAGACCGCCTGCCCTCCATGTTTGAAATTGCTGCATTTCGTATGCGACGAGCGTGTGCGGCGCGAAGGCAAGAACCACATGTTGAAAATCACCCGTCCACAATCCGAAAAGCTCTTTGCAAATTGTTCATACGAGCGTGCCGGGCGCTAGGGCGAGAACCACATTTTGGAAACGACCCGCTCTCCATGTGCGAAACGGCTGAAATGTTTCAGATGACTGCGCGCGGCGTTAAGGCGAAAGCCACATGTGAAAACCCGTGAAGCGAAACTTTTTTATTCTGTAAGTTTGTTGAAACGAAGGTGCGCAGCGCTAGTGCTAGAGTCACATGTTGGCAGCGACCCGCCGTCCATCTGCGAAACTGCTGCCACGTTTTAGCTTCCAGGTCATAAATGGGGAGGCCGTCTAGGGCGAATTGCCCAGCCCGCCCTTCGGGCGCGACAGGGTGCGACAGGGAGGAGGAGGGGAGGAGGAGGAGGGGGAGAAGGAGGAGCAGGGCGGACGACCGACCTATGTGGCTCCACAGTCCCAGTCAAACTCCCGGCCTACATTAAAGCGAACAAAATCGAACGCACTCCTGCGCCGCACAGCAAACTTGGCAAACTGGCCTCCTGCACCATCCGTCAGGAGAAAGGTCCCCTGGAAGACGCCGTCCCTGGAGATCCCTGGGTTCGGGGACAGGGGACAGGAGCAGGGGACATGGAGGGGTAGCCGGAGGAGCAGCTGCGGAGTTGACGAGCCTGACGGGGGAGGCACGGAGCAGCATCATGGCGGGCATCTTCTTTTTCCTCCCCCCCTTGGCCTCCCGGGCCGCCCGCAGACCCGGCGCTCGCCGCTTGGGTAGGAATATGTTTCTCTCTGCGTGGGTCCGTCCCCCTCTCGTTCTTTCTTTCCCTGTCCTTCGCCTCCCGCTGGCGCCCAGCCTCTCGGCCTGTCCTGCGCGCCGCGTCTCGCACGCCCCGGCAGCACGGGTGCCAAGTGCCGAGAGGAGGAGCTAGTGAGGACGCAGAATAGGATGCTCTGTTTCAGAGGAGGATGAGGAGGAGGAGGAGGAGGAGGAGGAGGAGGAGGAGGAGGAGGAGGAGGAGGAGGAGGACCGGTGCAAACTTGGAATCCACTGCCCCTCTGTTCTGAAGCAGTTGTATAGGAGGGGGTACAGAGGACAGGGTGTTTACACAGTTTGGAGGAATTAGTGAATTCAGTGTGGGTCGGGCTTGACGCGCCTCGAAGGAAGCGCGCGCACCCGAATCGCAAGCATATGGCTATATGCGGACCCATGACAGTTTGCTTCCCGTCGTCGTCCTCGCCCTCGCTCCGTTGCCCTTCCTTTCTTCCCCCTTTGGATGGCGTCGAAAGCGTCCGCGGCTCGGGCGGGGGAGTGCCCCTTTCCACCTCCCCCATTATTCCTCGTTCCTCTTTGCCTCCCTGCTCCACCGTCCGTCGTCCGACCTCGTCTTCCCTCCTTGCTCGAAAAGTGAAGTCCCTGGTGCCGCGTGCCCGTGTCAGCAGTATATCTCCTTTTCGATATCCGAGCCAGCGGCGCAACCAAACAGCGGCGCAACCAAGATTCATCAACGATGTTGCAATAAGCCCGCCATCCAAGTTTCCTCTTCACGTGTCCCTACGAGGATTCGTTCTCACTCACGGAAGTGCTCCGTTCGAAGACACGGTCTGAAAATCTGGAACCGTAACAGAACACCATTCTTGGGACCTCATCGCCGCGAATCAAGGTTACGATTGCGTCCTGTCGGCCATGATCTGCGTCAGAACAGCATTCCTCAAACTTCATCGCCGCGAATCAACGCAGCAGTTGCACCCTAACCGTCCGACATCGCCAAAAACACCACCCCTGGAACGTCAACCATAAGGAGCTCTGAAAGCGTTGTGCAATCTTAGAATGAGCGGAGCGCTACGGCGACAACCACATTTTGAAAAGGTAGCGTCTTCCACCCGTGCAATTTTTGTAAACTTTTCAGACGGATGCGCGCGGCGCTAACGCGAGAGTCACATTTTGAAGACGACCCTCCCTCCGCCTGTGAAGCTCTTGCAAATTGTTAAGACGAAGGCGCGCGGCGCTAAGCCGAGAACCATATTATGAGAACGACCCGCCTTCCATCCGTGAGACTGTTGTGCCCGGCCCGCCCTACAGACAAGTCTCGGGGGGCGACAGGGAAGGTTGTTTATCAGGGAACGATGGTGCCGGATGAGGTGGTGCTCCGAGGCCGCCGCAGGCGGAGCAAGTTGGTGGGAGGAGGATGAGGCGCCCCCCCGCTGGGGGAGGATGTGAAAGACACATCTGGGCGGAGTTCCGAGGAGGTGCTCTTCCTTGAGGGGAGGATGATGGGGTGGCTGTCCATGTTCAGAGACGTTTCAATACCATTGCCGCTGTTGGGCTTAATAGTTTCTTTCGGTCTGCAGTGTGCTCTTCCGCTTCCCGCTGCCGCCTCTGTTGTTAGGATTTGGGGGAGGTTTTCTTTCAGACACGCCGCCTCGTGCATTAATCACTTTGCGCGGAAAGTTATCCTCTCTTGTGCCGTTGTGTGAAGCCACTTGGGGTAGTTGCCCACACGGCGCCAATACCCTTTCGTCTTATGTGGGTTTGAATAAGACGTTTTTCCCTCACTGTGCGTGCCCAGAGTTTCGCTTCGGGCCTGGCAGGCTGGCTGAGGCTGCGTGTGAATGGTGGTCGGACTGGAGACATGTGGCGCCTTGCGGGTTCCCTGAACAAAAAAAACGATAGGCAATGCCAGTCAGTGCGGACATGGGCGCTTTGGATGTCAGGGGCGTTGACGTCCACAGCGACTTGAGGGCTGCATGCTTTGTGTAAGCGCATCCTGAGGTTCACAGCTCACGAGGTTCTGCTAGCACGCGCCAATGCAATGATTCAAAGACGTGATTCAGTTTAATCGTTTCGCGCACACGTATGGTTGCAAGCGGAATAGTTTGGCACCTATGCGCGCCACCTATGCGCGCTTTACGTAGCGGTGTTCACAGTATATTCGTGTCGCCCCGGTTCGTCGAAAGTTGGCGTTCAAGATCGAAGATGGCTCTCGGAGTCCCTGACGGCGAAGGTCGCTTCAAAAGCAAGGCTCACTCGGTGGCAACCGGAGCCCATGCCGCTGCCATCTCAGGAGCATGTCGTGGTCAATACCCATGCGTGTTGGCCGCATGTCTGCACTCATCCCCACCATCGGCAAAAACACGATGTCCGTACTGACCGCTTCCTTGACGGCGCCACGCTATTGGCCAGCGCGGTAGATGAGCTATGTGTGCCCAGTGTGGCGTTTTCAATTGCGGTACCGTCTTCCATCACCGCACGTATCCCCTCCACGTTGTGATTTAAATTTCAGCTTCGTGACCCAGATGATAATGATGAGGGGTGCGACGCAGAGTTCGTGCTACACGGGCGTGCGCCATCCCATCGTACGTCGCACTGCGCACTGCGAAGTAGCCTGCGTGGACATCACGTTGCCTGCATTAGTTGGCAGTGTGGCGGGCTCTCGTCGCGCTGGGACTCACAAAAGGCGAAGCGGTCTCCCGCTCGTGCCCTGCTCCCCGCCGCCAGGCGGAAGCGGGTCCAACAGCATGGAGCGTGGCCGCGGCGCCGGGGGTAGCGTCGGAGGCTGTTTAGGCGGCCACGCCCCCACCCATCCGGGCAGCGACTAGACTCGGCCAGGAGAAGTCGGCCAGGCTGGGTTCGGCCGGCTGCTTTTCGGCCAGGCTGAATTCGGCCGAGCTCAGCCCGGCTCAGTCTCTCCCTTTCCTCCATCTGGCCCGTGCCCCTTTCGGCATCGCTCGGACGTGTGTATTTTTTCTTCGGCGAGGACCATCGAGGAGCATCCTCGATCATTTGGCGAAAAAACCACGCATCAAGTCGAAAAAGCACAGGGAATGGACGTCCGAGCGATGGCGAGCCCTCGGTCTGACTTTGTCGCTACTCTTGCAGGGTTCCCGGGGTTTTCGGGGGCCCGCGGGCCCGGGCCGCCCGCAGGGGCGCGAGGGGGCCCCCGCTCCGGGCGCCGCGGGCTGGCCAGAGAGGCCCTCCCCCCTCTTCGGGATGCAACCCGTGGAGGTTCAATTCGGCATCGGCGCTGGGATATAACCGCAGTCGAACCCGGCCTAATCCGGCATAGTCCCGCATCATCTGGCCAAGTCCCACCTCCAGCTCAGTCGGGCTTCATCCTGGACCTCATCCTCGCTAGGCCGGCTGAATGTCCGCCTACTTGGGCTCAATAGTCCCTAATCGTTCTTACGAAGACCTCCCAGAAGTTGCTTCTGATGGGGACGGGCGGCGCGAGAGCGCGAGGATGACCGCGCGCATGGCGCCTCGCACAGCGCGCGAAGCGGGCTTCGGACACCGCGCGGGCCGTGCAGAAGGCTCCAGCGCGCCGCGAGAGCCTAGAAGGCGGGTGCTGGAGATTTGGGTGCTGCTATAAGTGGTCCTTAGGCCCAAGGCCCAGTGTGAGCGAATCAGAAACTCGGCGTTGGTTGCGTGGACATTCGCGCCCAAGCTTCCCGCGCAAGGTCGCGCGTCAGCGCCCTCTTCTCCACGCAGTTTGCCGCGCTGCCGGTCCGCGTGCGCTGCGGCGTAAGGTCGCTGTGCCACGGACGCCCGTTTATGTTCGTCGCTCAGGTGTCCCCAGCTTCGGCGCCATTTCGGAGCCCCTATAGTGCCCTCTGGGCGTCGTGAGGGGTGCTCTGGAGGCCGCAGGGCCCCTCGGAGATTCTGGGGGGCACCCTATAGGCCACTTTGAGTCTCACTGTCCTTGGGTTTGTTCGGTCGTCGCCGTGTTCGTCGCCATCCCGTTCGTTTCGTTCCCTACATGGTTCTTGTTTTCTCCTTCTCTCCTTCATCCTTCCTCCCGACTCCATCCTCCCCTCTCCTTCCTTCTGTTTCTCCAACGTCCTCCCTAATTACCTCACTGTCCCCCTCCGTCGTCCCGCCTTGTCCTCTCTTCCCCTCCTCTCTTCTCCATTCTCCGCTCTTCCCGCGCTTACTCTCTCTCTCTCTCTGATTCCCTCCCCCTCCCTCTACTTCTCCAGCGTCCTCCCTACCTCACCATCACCCCTTCCTTCTCCCTCCTTATCCTCTCTTCCCCATCCTCTCTCCTCCCTTCTCTCTGCTCCTCCCGCGCTTATTCCCTCTCTCCTCTCCATCTTCCCTCTTGGCTCCTTGGTCAGGCTCCACATCCAGTCCGCATTGACGGTGGGGTCCCCGAGCTCCTGGAGGCGCCGCACGTCCTCCCACTTGCCCTGCGCTGCGAACCTGTCGCACAGGTTGTCCAGCCGTTGGCGGTCGCAGACTACGGCCATGCGCCGCTGAAAGTGGCGGAAACCTGCGCGCGGGGCCGCGTGTATTCCTCGTCCTCTGTGCCGGCTGGTGCGACCAGTCTGCCCGCCGCGGCTCCCTCGGGCACTGCAGGGCCGCCATGCGGACTCGCCTGTCCACTGGACACCTGGGCGAAGGAGGCGAGGGCTGCCGCCTCGGTCTCCCGACAGAGCTCGCGCGCCTCTCGCGCCCGCTCGTCGGAGAGCCCAGCCTCGACCGCCCGTAGCGCCTCTTGCGTTTGGCAGTCGTAGGGCGCCATGGCCCTGGCGACAAAGTTAACTCCTGGAGACCATCGAGGCGCTGCACGAGGTCCTCCACGAAGGGGGGCGACTATCCTCGACGCCACGAAGGCGGTTCGCGCGAGGGCCTGGGCGCTGCGAAAGCCGAGGCCGCCTGCTTCGACACCGAGCGTGACCTATATCATGGCCTCTTCGCTGACGTGGCCGCCCAGGGTCTCCTCCACGAAGGCGCGCTGCTGGTGGTCGAAGGCGGCCGTGACCTCGTCCGGGACGATGTCGCCGACAGTGCGCAGAAGGTTGGCCACGTCCGCGCAGCTCCGCCCGAGCACCAGCTCGGCTGCTGGCCGCTCCAGCTCGCGCAAGGCCGCGTGCATCTGCCCCACCTTGTGAATATGCTCCCAGACAAAGGCGCCGACAAAATCGGCGTCGCCGATCGTGGCGCCCAGTATCTCCGCGCCAGCGTTCAGCGGTAGGATTTTGCATGAGTTTGCAAGGTGCGACGTGATCCATGCATCGCCTTGTTCTGCCACGAGGCTCTGGTGGCACACCAGCTTGAGCGTCGTCGTACTAAAAATCATCACAATAATCAGCATAACTTATAATACGATCACAAACAGTAATGAGCAGGAAAAGGAAGATGAGGAGGGGGAGGAGGAGGAGGAGGAAGAGGACGACGACGACGAGGAAAATGAGAAGGAGGAGAGGGAGGAGGAGGAGGAACGAGGGGGAGGAGGAGGAGGAGGAGGAGGAGGAGGAGGAGAGGAGGAGGAGGAGGAGGAGGAGGAGGAGGAGGAGGAGGAGGAGGAGGAGGAGGGAGGAGGAGGAGAGGGAGGAGGAAGAGGAGGAGGAGGAGGACGAGGACGAGGACGAGGAGGAGGAAAGGGAGGAGGAGGAGGAGGAGGAGCAGGAGCAGGAGGAGCAGGAGCAGAAGGAGCAGGAGCAGGAGCAGGAGCAGGAGCAGGAGGAGGCTGACGCGGAGGAGGAGGAGGAGCGGGGGCTTGGGTTGGGGAGAGGGGGCAAGCTGGAGAAGGAGGGCGCAAGGGTGGTGGAGGAGCAGCGGTGGATATTGGGGGGGCCTGCAGGGGGCGGCGGCGGCGGCGACAGCGACGACGACGACGACGACGACGACGACGACGACGACGACGACGACGACGACAAACACGCGCCCAGCGCCCGGCGTTGCCGCCGAAGCGGCCCTGCTGCGCCTGGGGCAGCGCGCGCTGGGCTCCGAGTTGGGGCCGGGGCCGGGGCTGGAGGCGCCCTTCCCCCCCCCTCTTCGGGTGGGGCGGCGGCGGCGGGGAGGCGGGTAGGCGGCCCGCTAGCAGGACAGGATCGAGCGGAGACTCTCGCGAGCTCGACCTGTGCCGACATTCGTGGCCCATGCCCCCTTCGGGGAGCGGCCACCAGCGCAGGGAGAGCATACAAGCACACGGGCGCACGTGACGGGGGTCAGCGCCAACGGGGGTCAGACCGCCTCGACGGCAGCCCCCTGCAGCCATAGTTGACCCGACCCTGCGGGGGCTGCGCCGGCGTGGTTCACCTGCTTGCGGCTCTCAGCCGCGCTCTCAAATGAGCAGCAGGGCCAGCGGGTGAAACAACCGACGAGCAATGCGAAAACGGGGTCCACCCAGGCACCGGGTGAGCTCTGCTTTAACCCGAGCATCCCCGCCCGTGAGTAGGCACGAGGCCCCATGGTCTTTCCGTGCCACATGGCGCAGCCACTCCACGGAAGTGCACTACTTGGCACGACAGACGCCACTGCAATGGGCAGAAACTCGGACCTCATTTCGAGCGGATGCAGGGGAATTGAGCTACCGCCAGGTGCGGGTCGGAGACCCCGAGGGACTTCCGTGCCACATGTCATTGTCTTGCCTGGACCGCGCAGACATGACGGTCGCCTTCGAGGAGGAGGAGGAGGAGGAGACGGAGCTGGAGGAGCACAGAGCTTCAGTCATCGGGGCGTACGTCACGGGGATCCGCGCTAAGTGAGGTCAGCGGTCAGCGAATCCCCTCGGATCCTCTCTGGCCGATCTGGGTGTGGGAGCCACCTGGGGCAGACCCAAGCTTCCCTCCCTCCGCTGACACGAGCTGGGAAGCTACTATGCGGCAGGCCAGGGTTCGCGACGTGGCCTTTGTTGGCCTGGGTCAGCGCTGACCCTGGTCAGCGCGCCCCAAAGGGAGGAAAGGGAGGACACATGCTTCTTCGCGTCGTGACAAAGATCGCGACGGAAGGTTTTTGGCAGGTTTCGGCCTCTGGAGGCTTTCACTGTGCCCTGGGAGGGTCAACGACGACTCGGGCTGAACAAAGCTGTCCCAGGGAAGGGGTCCAGACCTCTGGGCGTCCACGTTGCGAGAAAGGGCACTACGTTGGGGGTATGGGGAGGATGATGTTTGACATAATGTCCGGTGACTTTTCGGGGCTCTTGTGGCGCCCTCATCGTCGCCACGGCTGGATATTCCTCGAAATTCTGGCCAGAGGAGGAGGAGGAGGAGGAGGAGGAGGAGGAAGAGGAGGAGGAGGAGGAGGAGGACAAATGTTGGCGCTACCCCGAGCGGCGTGCCCCCTGGCCGCTGATCCCGCTGGCCAACAGGGCAGCGGCCGCTTGGGCCAGGCCGCAATGCGCCACTTGCGCTGGCTGGCGCAGGACCGCGCGCAGGGCCTGGGCGATGGACCCGCTGCCGAGGCTGCCGCGAGCGCTGGGGCGCTGCGCTGGGGCGCTGCATTCAGCGTCGCGCTGCGCCGGGCCGCAGCGAGGCTGTGGGCTGCGCTGGCCTGGCACGGCCGCCGGGCTGCCGAAGGCCGCCTGCCGGGTCGCCGCGTTCGTGGTGGGGCTCAGGAGGAGTGCGGGTGGCGCACAGACCGCGTCGTTGCGCCAGGAGGAGGAGGAGGAGAAGGGACGACCAGTGCAAACCCGTGATTCACCAACGATGCTGCAATACAACCTCCCATCCCAAGGCCTCTCCTCGCACGCAAGTCCTTACAAGTTTCCGTCCCACTGCGGAGGGCGCCTCCCTCGAATGACGAAAGCCTGGTGGGCCTGCCACTCAGGCGAGGCTCTATTATGTAAAGGGTCCGCTCTCCATCCCTGTAGCTGAAAGAAGCGCAAAGAGGATTGATGATACGGTCCACGGAACTGTCCAGCGGTAGCGCCGTTTTGAGAAAAAGAACAGCCCTCCAAGCAACGACAGTTTTCATCGAGCCACGCGTTTGTTTACAGGAGCCGATCTCCATCCGTGTAACTACCATACATGTTGTAGCGACGGGCCGTGGAACTTGAGGAAGTCCGAAGCGAGAGCCGCATTTAGAGAACGAGCCGGCCTCCATCCTTCTAGTTGTTCGGGGCTATTAATAAATCCAATGTTCACTGCGACAGGGCGGGAATTGCATTTGGAATGTCACTTGCCCCCCATCCTTCTAACTCTTGGGGGTTTAAGCACGAATGCGCACGGCGCGAAGTCGAGAGCGCATACAAACTACCGAAGCAATTTGAGTTTTTGGTATTTTATTGCCGCCGCGGATGCTGAACTCTGGACGTCCCGAAAGGGCCGCCGAGGCCTTTGGAGTCGCGTATACGGGCCCGGGCGAGCACCAGCTTGAGGCAAACACCCCCTTCCTCGGTCCTCGAGGATCTAAGGGTGCACTGAGGACGAGGAGGGAGGAGGAGGGAGGAGGGAGGGGGATGAGGAGGATGAGGAAAGAGGAGGAGTGGGGAGGAGGGAGGAGGACAGAGGAGGAGGTGGAGGAGGAGGGAGACGGGAGGAGGACGGATGAGGAGGAATACGGAAGGGGAGGAGGAGGAGGAGGAGGAGGAGGAGGAGGAGGAGGAGGCGGGAAGGAGGAGGTGGAGGAGGGCGCGGAGGATCAGTTCGAGGCCGAGCAGGAGGAGGAGGAGGAGGAGGAGGAAGAGGAGGAGGCGGAGGAAGAAGTGGAGGGAGAAACGGCGGTCACGCCCGCGCCACGACGACACGACGACCGCCCCCCGTCCCCCGCCCCTGTCCCCTCTGCCCCTGGCCCGGGCCGCCCGCTCTGTTGTGCTGCTTTCGTTTTTCTCACCCTTCCCCGCGGCCTGGGTCAGCGGCAGTTGCCCGCAGGCCGTGGGGATGTACATCACTATGCGGAGAGAGCTGCCCCCTGACACGCCTGACCCCAATGGCCACCCATCCTAGAAAGGGATGGGTGCTGGGGTCGCGGTTGCAGTAGGAGGAAGAGGAGGAAGAGGATGGGGGAGGAGGAGGGAGAAGGGAGGAAGAATAGGGAGTAGGGAGAAGGGAGGAGGGAGGAGGGAGGAGGGAGGAGGAAGGAGGGTGGAGAGAGGAGGGTGGAGGGAGGAGGGTGGAGGGAGGAGGGATTTTCTTTGTACCCCGACTGGGCCCACCGCTGAGCGCAACTAGCTGGCAGCGCGGGGCCTGCCAGCTTGCTCCGCTGAAATGTGCCGCGCGCCTGCGTTGAGACCAGCTTGGGGCACACAAAATCGCATTACATGCGGCATACCTCTGCGGTGGCAATCCAGAGGCCAGGACACACGGAGCCAGGGACCCCAACCAAGGGCGGGCAGCTCGGGAGGACCCGATGAGGCGCAGTGACGAGAGTATTGCGCCAAAGCAAAAGACCAGCAGCCTTGGCACGAGTGGCCATGCCAGCTGGACTGGCAGGCGCCACCTCTGCGGCAGAGGTGGCGGCCTGCGAGAGCAACAGGAAGATGCTACAGCTTGCGTCGTGTCATCTTTGCCACAAGTTGGACTCGAGGTCCGCGCGGCCAGTTAAGAAAGTCAGCAGGCCGAGCAGTACCATCCGTGGATAAAACACCACGGGCAACACGAGCCCACGCGCCAGGAGGGGCGCGCAGGGTACCAGATAGCAAAGGGCAAGGCCACGAGAGGAGATCCTCCAGGCGTGCCAAAGTTCGAAGCTAGCAGGCCCAACAAGTCGGATCCCCTTCCGTTGTCAGCAACATGCAGCAACACCAAGGGGCGTTCGTCCTCCTCCTCTCGGAGATCGTGCTCCACTGGGCGGAGGGCCTGCACATAAGAATTTTAAGATGATTCGGCATCTCTGAGGTGCTGTCGGACACTCCCCCCACCCCCCTACATTAGATCGGAGCTGTGCCTCAACTCTCTGAAGCTCAGCAGACTCTGTCTGCTGGAGGTCCTCGTCCTCCGGTCCAGTGGTCAAGAGGCGGCACAGAATCAGCACAGTCGTTGGTGTCAAAACAAGCCATGCCATTATCCAAACTCAGAGCATCTGCTCGTAGTAATGTGGATGCCTGCCCTTGCGCTCGGCGGCGCGAAAGGATGTCACGCCGCCGCGTGGGCCCCCATGGGGCCCCATCGACGTGCTCCTGTTGAGGGATGTTGTTTTTCCGGGCGGAGATCAAAGGAGTAACACGCCGATGGGGCCCCTGGGGGCCCCCGCGGCGGCGTGAAATTGATAACACTCGTTCTCCCCCCCGATGCGCAGAGCACGCCATCCTGGCCGAGCAGCACGAGACGGGGGCACACTGCAATCAGAAACAAGGCCTCTGACAGAGGCTCTTGAGGATTGCATCCCAGGCAAATGAAGACCACAGCGCCGTCTCCGAGCAGTCAAAGGCGACTCTCGTGTGGCCCAAGGACTGCTGCTTCGCAGCATACAAAACAACTTCGACTGGTCCGAACAAGGTCCGACAGGCGGGGTGCCGTCCCCACGCCTGCCCTTCAGGCAGACACGCACATCACATCTCAAAGTGTCTGACCATAGCCCCAGCTGTGAGGGATTGGGAGGGGGCCCGAAGGAGGAGTGGAAGCAACAAGGGGAGCATAGGGCATTTCGAGTGAACGCTTCGGTCAGAGAGGCAACAGCTTAGCAGCAATCCTGCAATACGCTCTGGCCGAATCTGCGATGACATCTAGATTTCTCATGTCCCCTTGGGTCGATGGGTGGAGCTGCAGTCCATGCTTGGCCTCAGTGTCCCAATGAAAGCTTCCTACCCTACGACATCGCTCTTGGGCCGTGATGTTGGCCTCATCGGATATTATTCACAAGTTTGCCCTCAAACGTGTTGACCTGCATGGTCGTCCCAGAGTAGGCTCGTTTGCCTGAGTACCTCTCTGGGGCGTGGGGGGGGGCTCTGGTGAACCACGTTGGCACAGTCAGAGTAAATCGTGGACATAGCACAAACTGCGACGCAACACATCCCGCCATAAACTCAGCACCTTGCGGGGTCCGGGGAGATGTGCCCAGGCCGGGCCACGCACCTCTCTAAGGCACTCTCCCTCA